AATTGAGTGAGGGTGTTCAGCAGTAAATCGACTTCTGTGTGATGTTTTGTTCAGCTTCATCAAAGAAAATAGTTGTTCACACACGTATGTGCTGCCAAACTTTCGACAACGTTTGAGCAGCCTGGATGCGCAGCGGGACCACTGTGTCGGGGAGGAAACCGTCAAACTGCTCAGCACGCACTGCCGTATCTTTGCAGAAACACTGCAATTGTGTTTCTGCTAATGCTCACGTTTAAAAAGAGTTGCTTTTTTTCGGGGTAAACTTCGTCACAAACTTTAAGTATACCGTTTTTAATGAAATCCCCCTTCCCCCTCCATGTCCATGTTCTTGTTTGCGTGTTTCGTTTCATGATGTCGTCTCAGATTACACTATTTCAATCGCGCCACACTTTCTCCACACAGAAGACACACAGGTTTTCCAGCTACGTCCATGAACATGTTCTTCGACTCTCACCTTGTTTGAAACCCCCGGTTCTCAGTGTCCACCTTCCGTTTTGCCATTTTTGATGGGTATCTGAAAGCTAATGTCACTGTTATGGGAACGACTGCTAGACGAATAAATATTTAAATAAAGCGGCCGACTGCTTGGCGCGTCACCGTTGCATTGTGGGAAATGTAGTTTTGGTGCGTGTAAAAGATCTGCCGGCTCTCGGCTTGCTGCGGTCCGCGGGCCGGTTCTAATAATAAATCAATATCATCCCAGGGGCCACTGAAAACATTCTCGCGGGCCGGATTTGGCCCGCGGGCCGGCACTTTGACATATGTGATTAAGGCTAATTAAGGTATACACGAGAATCGAATCTTCATGCGAATAGTGACTACAGCTTTGACTAATCACGAAAAATGTAGAAATATTCATGTTGAATCAATAATGTTATTTTAAATTAGTTCAACAGTGTGTTCCTACACATTTGTTTGTCAAATTATCTTTTTTGACGAAAAAAAATCATGTTGTTGGTTGGGGCTTTGATTCACCTCAAGTGCCAGATGGCCAGGCTTTGACAAAAGGCCTCCTGTCTGATGTTTTTATTGAATTATTGCTCTGTTTCATTATAATGTAGTACCATTTTTCCCACATTAGATGGCGCGCCTAAAAGCATTCAATTTTCCCAAAAGCCCACAGTGCACTTTATAATCCGATGCGCCTTATTTATGGTGTCACAGTGTCTTTATATTCCCCATTGTGTTGTTTCCCTGTGAGTGCTCCTATGGCATCGAGTGGTGATTATTAGCAGGAACCAATCGTAACCTAAAAAGGTTCTACCCAACACTAATTGACATGTGCATTCACGAACACACACTCCAACAGACAACTACTCTGTGGGCTTTGCGCAGCCATTATGTAATGAAGATAATACCAAAAGCATAGTTAACTACTGACTAAACGAAGTAAGGATATTTAGCCCCTTGTGGATGTGAACCCACGAGGTTTGTGTGCCTTTGTGATGAATCAATTGTCTTCATAACTTTTGTCTTTCATTTATTGTTTTGTAATGGCATTTGTATTTATATGTTTCATGTCCATGTTAGTGACCAGTTGTCATGGCTTTGTTACAGCTGCAGCGGTTGAGAAGGCTCTATATCAGTGGTTCTTAATCTTTTTAGAGATACCGAACCCCACCAATTAATATGCACGTTCACCGAACCCTTCATGAGTGAAAAATAAATATATATATTTTTTACAAATTCAAGATATTAAAAAAAAAAAACCACATTTATTAAAAACAGAAAAAAAAGTAAATAAAATTTCAAGAGATAAGTATACTTTTTTTTTTTTTTTTTTAAATTGTACGACGTACTATCACAACAGTCACAGGTTGACTACTAAAGGGGTGTTCACACGGCAACATTTGCTCCGGTGCTGCGCCGGTGCTACCCCAGTAGAGCGGTCACACGTGCAAAATTACACCGGTGTAGCCCCTGAAAACAGCTTACTCCGGAGCAAATTTAACCCACCTCAGGGAGGTGGTTTAAAAATTTGCTCCGGAGCAAATGCTCATTTGCGGGGGTGTAGCCTCGCTACGCATGAGAAGAGTTGATTACATACGGCGAGAATGCGTTGCTTTCGTGCTCTGTTGTACTTCCGTCATGTGTTTAATAACGACACAAGACATGGCTGGCAATAACAGTAGCAAGCGGCACCTTTGGGTTATACCATCTCAACTAGAACGATGGTGGGGGTGATAGTCCCCAAACATCATCTTTCCTTTTGTAGGAGACTGGACTGTCTCGGAGTTGTTTGTGTAGTTTGTTCTTTTGTTGTGTGTTCACAACCCCCCGCCCCCCATAGAATTTATTTTGTGATTTTCTCTCTTGATTTTCTGTTTGGCACATTATATATTTGCTTTTCTGAGTCTCATTGAAGTCATCGTTGATTTACGTTTTCAGGGGCGGTCATTCAACGCCTCTCGAGCAGAAGGCACGGAGACCGAGAAGGAGAAGGACGTGCCTGTTCAGCAGTTGCTTGAGTTGTGTATGTTTGAAAAAGAACCAACACGACAGCTCTTTGTTTTCTATCATTTTGCACCGCTGCAGAAACTGCCATGTGACCGCAAGTGGCGCTGCACCGGTGCTACGCCGGGGTTAACACGCTCAGCGGCTTTGTATGTGTGACCGCTCCAGAAAATTTGCTCTGGTGTAAAATATATCGCAACAAAATACAGCGGTGCAGCGCCGGAGCAAATGTTTGCCGTGTGAACACCCCTTAAGTGAACTAAATTTCCCAAAACACTGATTGGACAAGCAATGTCATGTGATCATCTGCAGCCAATGATGGCCAAGCGGGCATGTCATAACTAATTGACATGTTGAGTCGGGTGTGTCTTAACCTCCATGGCAGAGGCTCCGTCGAACCCCTGAGACCGACTCACCGAACCACTGGGGTTCGATCAAACCCAGGTTAAGAACCACTGCTCTATATAGATAAAGCTGTATTGTATTGTATTCCCTTTAGCATAACTCCATCTAGTGGATGCATAGCATAACCGCAGTCACTATTGTAGCACCTTATAATGCGGTGCACCCTATATATGAAAACAGTTTTAAAATAGGCCATTCATCGAAGGTGTGCCTTATAATCCGAAGCGCTTTATTTATAGTGCAGAAAATACGGTACATATAGAACATCACAAGCATCCTTTTTTTCTTAACTGCTTGAGAGAGCTCTCTATCAAAGTCTATCTCAAGACTGGACTATAATCTGTGCTACTACAAAGCTCTATTTTTTTTTTCTCCCAACTTCATTGAGATTGGTTTTTTTTTACACTGGTGGTATGTTTACAGGACTCCTCAGTTGTGGAGAAACAATACGTGGCAAGTCATGAAGTCAGTCAAATATGCTTTGGCGCATTTATTAACCGAACTGCAAAGATGACTACGCATTGATTTGGAGTACGATATTTATTAGTTAAGGAGGTCTTTTTTTGGGAAAAGCACATTTTTATTGTCCTGTATTTTATGATGTTTGTTATTTAATGTACTAAAACACGTTGCTGCGATTGGCTGACGACCAGCTCATGGCCTACCCTTCCTACCGCTAGACAACGGCTTGGATAGGCTCCAGCACATGCGCGACGCTTGTGCGGATAAGCACTTCAGAAAATCAATGAATGAATGTTTGATGTAATGTAATGTACAGTGCAGTGTCTATGAAGGTAAAGAAGTTTTAAACAAAGGTGGCGTCGCCTCGCAGCAGGATTTTAACCCTTTCAGGGACAGCGGTTGCTACAGTGGACAATTTATCATGTAATCAAATTACAGGGTGCATGAAAGGGTTAATGTCACTGAGAGCATGTTTTAACATATTGTATGGTCAGACTCCAAGTCCATGCGCAACAGGACATGACCAAAATGATCAATTGTACATGTTAATTTTCTCTTGGGTAGAATTCTTGCATCTCTTTTAGATTCAGTGTCATGTGGTGGGTGTCGAATGATGGTGAAGATTCAGTCACTGTCAAAGGAATCTAAGGCTGCACGCCGGTTCAGTTTAGGCCACAGCCTAGGTGGATTTTCCGTATGAAAACTTTGTGTTCCTTTTGGCTAAACAGACCATGAGGTCCTGTTGTTGCTGTCATTGTAATGAATTCACTTGGTTTGTGGTGTGTTTGTCTTATCAGTGAATGTGGTGGATTTCTGCGGTCAGACCATCCGGGGTGATGGCATGATCATCAACTCCCATCAAGAATCTAAAAAGTACTACTTTGTAACAATCGGGACCGACTGCCACCTCACCATGCAGGCCAGCTCCCCAAAGGACAAGGTCCAGTTCCACTTTCGCTTCTTCCTTGTCTACAGTTTGTTGCGAGTTGCCCCTCTGAGCCCAGCCCCTGTGTTACCCGAGTCCCCACGCGGCTCTGCTCCCCTAAACCCCAAACTGGAGCCCACCTCTGGGGAAAGCTCAGGGGATCCCTGTCACGCAGGCTCATTCGTTCAGTTTTATGATGGATGGGACAGAAATTCTCCTCCTCTTGGGCCCCCTCTTTGTGGCAAGAGTCCACCACGGCCAGTGCTGTCGACAGGAAACTACCTGACCTTGCGACTTGTCACCCGTGGGACTCAGCCCAGAGTAGACTTCGTGGGGGACTTCACATCGTTCAGACTTGGTAAACACACACGCACACACACACACGCACACACACACACACACACACACACACACACACACACACACACACACACACACACCTCTACATGGACACACTGCTTTTGGTCTAAAATTAGACATTGAAATTGGGCAATGTTTTTACCTGGCTGAAATAAAAATAAATTGAAGACTTTTTCCGAAAGGCTTCTGCAGCTCTAATACTCAGACGGGAACACCAAGCAACCTCTACTCAAATACATGGCCCGATTTAGGAGGATGTAGAGTCTGTAGTTAATTTGCATCTCAAAAGGTAATGGACATTCCTTTGAGGACAACAATGTGAAAATGTTGGACAGAGAGGACTGAGCAGCTTCTACATGTCAAACGAAAGGCCCGCTCTGAACAGAAGAGGTTTGAGCCACGACATGAGCTCATGATATCGGTACTTACAAACAACAACAACAAAAAAAAAAAAAAAACTTTTTTTTTAATCCAGGTTTTTAAAAAAAGAGACCAGGACAAGTCAGGCGGCTGCCAGGAATTCTGGAGTACTCTGGAATTGGATTCTAAAAGTGTAGACACAGATAAGAGTTGACGAAAAAAATGTTTATTTACAAGACCGACAAAGTACAATGAAAGATGCTGGTGAGAAAGAACCAGGATAAAATCAGACAAAACCAAAAACCGTGACAAAAGGCAAGGGCAAATATAAACATAGATCGCTTGTCACAAAAGGACAAGGAAGTCCAATACATGTATTTCACAAAATGAGAATAATACTACGATCAAGACCTACTTACATGAAAAACACTAGAAAACGTGACAAGAAAACTACAAGGAAAAAGTCATGAACGTCTAAGTAGAGAATACAGGCACTTGGAAACAAGAGTCGTGAGCAAGGCTGAATAATCCGACAGCAAGCAGTCGGTGTGGCTGAGCTTTTAAAGGCAGATGGTAATGATTAGATTCGGGACAGGTGCGCCTCTGGGGGGAACGCCCTCTAATACCGCCGGAGACTGCAACACAAACAGGACAGGATCATGAGAGTGGCAACAAAATACACAAAATTACTATCCCAGCCGTCTTTGGCCAGTCGGTGGGGTACACCCTGAACAGGTTGCCAGTCAATTGCAGGGCACACGTAGACAAACAATTATTTACTCAAAAGCCTTTCTTACAAGTTCTGTCTGGGCGTTTGGCACGGAGAGCAAAAAGAGAGATATAATAATTGAGGTAGATGTATCATTGAAGTAAATTAATTTTCATGATCTTTTCGTGTTTTTTATGCTTTCCTTGTTCTTACCAAATAGGATGTCTTTAGCACAAAGTTTTTTGATCAACAGCAATTTTTTTTTTTTTTTTATATCTTGTCATGTCCAGTGTACAAAGTGATCACTAAAAAAAATGAAGTACTTTTCAGAAATTACAAAAATGAATTGCCATTCTTTTTTGGAAGTTTTACTTAACAATGCAAATTCTTCAAGACTCCAAAACAAATATTATAAAATATTTCGGAAACCAATAATTTTTCAGGGAACCCAATAAAAAAAAATCAAACGTTTCTCCCCCTCAGTGCACTTCTTTTCTCATTCATGAAATAAAAAAACAAACTGGTGAAAATGCAATAAATGAAGGGTAACAATTAAACAACCCCAAAGCCTTTGGTTAAAAAAGCAGTGACCTTGTGCAGAATAAAGGTGTTTTTTTTTTTGTTTTTTTGGGGGGTTTTTTTGGTGAGCGAGTCCGGTATTACCTTCGTCCCATTCAAACTTGTGCAAGTGCTGTACTTACTATCTGTGCATCTGCAGCTGTCTGTTAGCAGTTGTCACTCATCGAGCAAAATACTCGAACCGATTACACGCTTTGATGATGCAACAGTAAAAGCCATCCAACTGCATGCATTCATCCAAAGCTTCAGAGTTTTTCGTGTCAATCAAATGCAAATGCATGTTACAAATATAAAAACAACATTGCTGGTAATTCCCTGTCACCAAATGACCATTCAAAACATCAGAGGCGCCCACATAGCCGCTTGTGATTGTGCTTTATGCAGGCCGGAGCTTCATGGGCATGAGCCGTCATTTTTGAATGAATTCTGAATCATTCACATTCGTACGTTGGTGTGACAGACTTGGCATATATACGCTCAACCTGTGCGTAGAGTGAGAACATTTCGACGCATTTATTAGTGGGTGAGGCTCATTGTTTTTGATTCAGACATCACGCTCTTTCTCCTCAGGATTCAACCAGTCATTGTGCAGCAGTGAGCCTTACTTCACTTGCAGGAATGGAAAGTGTATCCCACTCAGTCTGGTGTGCGATGATAAGGGCATTGACAATTGCGGGGATGGAAGTGACCTGGAAGAAAATCTAACCACAGGATGCAAAGGTCAGTGATGTAATACGTTGGCACTAGACCAATTGGTCCCAATAGCTCTTTCGAAGCCATCATATTTTTTAGTATATCCTCCTGACTACCAGTAGTTCAAATTTGTCCTCTGTAGAGGACATTTGTGAACCTAAATATCTCCCACCCAGTGCCTCCAATCGCATTAACTCCTTTTGTTACTCTAAAGAGGACATTCAGTGCTTTCCAATGATACCAAATTTGTAGGGGTTAGAAAAAGTAAGAAAATGGCTTCCCTCAGTGCAAGCACTTTTTATGGGAAGAGGAAAAGTAATACTTTTTATCGACCACATTTTGTCTTGAAATGCTGTTGGCATTTTAATTATAACACTCTTATGAACACGTTAAAGTGTTGTTTGAGTTGTTTTAAGTGTATTTGAGCCTGTTTAAAAATGTAGTGGGATTTCAAAAATTTCTTTTGGAGGAGTCCAATTACTTCACATAGATTGGGGAATGTCAAAATAAATGTGATTGGACAACATTTTTTTTCCTGGTAGTCAGGAGGATATAAGGTTAGCAGCAAACATACAAGGTGTGTCACAAAGTTCTGGGACTGGTGTCACAAATATACGGTGGAACTCCAATTTACAAATGTCTCAGTGTTGGAACTACAGTGTTCCCTCTTTTTTCACGGGTGATATATTCCATTATCCCCAGGGAAGGTCCGTTGGTACTAACCCGGTTCGTGATGATTCCACTGACAGACAAAAACTCATTTTTTTGAAGTTTCCGGTCGTACTAACTGAGGAGCCGAATGGAATATTTTACGTGCTTCGAGGTGCCACCCCTACAATTTTCAACCACACCACATTTGTCTAAGTCAAATCCCAACAACCAACCTCTGATGGTTCAGGTACAGGAGAGGAAACACATACTCAGCAGCGTCAACCGCAGGAACGCATCCGGGCCTGATGAGGTTCCTGGGAATGTTCCTGGGCCTTTGCTGCTCAGGTTGCTCTGGGTGCCATCTTCAACCTGTTCCTAATTGCCCCACGGGGATAAATAAAGTTTTCTGAATCTGAATCTGACACAGGCCATCTTTCTAATCATACTAAAGTCTGCCACTATTATGCCTTTACCAAAGAAAATCACTTTTTTACACAAACAAAGGGTCTTTTGTTTGTGTACTTTCTTTTTAAACGTATTTCGTTCTTTGTTTTTAAATTGCTTGTTTTTTAATCATGGAAAGATCATTGAGTTAACTTGTGTATTAAATGCGCCGTATAAATAAACCTGCCTTGCTTTCCCTACTGCTAATTTCATGGACCACCACCCAGTTGCACTAATCCTAATCATCACCAAGTGCCTGCAGTGAGGCAGGCGTTACCGTTCCATCAGGACCACAACGAACAGACTTAGGGACAGCTTCTTCCACAAGCCATCACTCCCCTGAACTCACTCTAACACAGACACTCATTCCATGTTGCTGCTGCTCCATTCAAGTGTCCCTGATTCCACTGTTACAATACAATCCATATGACAGTTAGTGCCGTATTGCCAGTTGTTGGGCCTAATTTTGTATTCTTTACTTTGCACATTCAACATCCCTGATTCCGCTGCCTCTGTACACATACAGTAGCTAACACGTGTGCCTCACCGTTCTTTGTACTGCAATTTTAGTGTTGTGATTTTTCAGAACTTTTTTTGGATGTTCTTTTAAAAAAATTTTCATTTGCACACCAATTTCGTAGTTTCTGCCCGTACCGTGTCAACAATGACTTTCTATTCTCTTCTGTTCTCTCCTCCAAACTACACATTCCCAGTAAACCCCATGGAGTCTGAGACAGTCTATTAGGGGATGTCACTAATATTTGTCAACTGTGGGCATGTGAGACCCTTTTTTTTTTTTTTTGTAACTAAGGGCCATCTACACAAACGTGACTTGACTTGAACAGACTTTTCCAGCCTTCTTTGCCACAAGTTCATGCACTCCTTGAAGAATTATTCCGGGATCCTCTCCAACTTGTCACAGGCATCTTGATGTCCTCCCCATCTTCAAAACGGGTCCCCTTGATGACTCTCTTGAGCTTGAGAAAAAGAAAAAAAAATCCTATGGAGCCAGGTCGGAGAACAGAGGTTCTCCTTGGCCAGGAACGGATGCTTAAGGGCATTGTGAGTAAGTGTGTTGTCATGGTAAAGCAGCCACAAGTTGTACAGTCACAGCTCTCGCCTTTTCTCAGGAACAAAAAAAAAACGCAGGATCTCTTTGTACACGTGCTGGTTGATCATCTAGCCCTGTGGCGAGAACTCACTGTAGACAATGCCCCTCACATTGAAGAATTCTTTCAACATGACTTTGAATTTGGACTTCGACTGTCTTGCTTTCTTTGGTCTTTGTGATGTCAGACTCCATTCCATTGAAAGCTCTGGCATTTCGTCTCCGGGTCTTGCGCAAAGATCAATGACTCATTCTTGGTGATGACTCTACATCTCATTCATTACAATGCTCCTATTCTGTATCTACGTTACTGTATAAAAAAGCATGTGCTCAATTGCTGCTGAGAGCCGAGGTTGCGGTTATCCACTCAAGGACAATTACATTGAAGAGGGAAAAATCAGTTCGCTGTTTGGGTTTGAAGCATAGATATTTTGTGACACCGGTCCTGGAACTTTTCTGACTCACTTCTCAAGTATTTTAGAGCACTGCAAATAATGCAAGGAGTGCAGTTTTACCTGCTTTATTGCATTTCATCTTTCGTGTATGTTTACAATGTGTTTGAAAAATGTATTTTAATATGTATGTTTTTTGAAGTTCAAGTAACTTTTAATATGTTTAAATGTGTTTGAAGCATGTGAACATTTTTTTTTTTTTAAGTGTCTCTCCAGATTGTAAATGTGGGTCGGTCCGAAATGTTTCCGCTGCAATAGACGGGTGGTTCACCTGCCTCCAGTGGCGGATGCTGGTCTGTCAAGGAGGGGAAGCTCAATTTTGGCCGACATCATAAAATGTGTCCGTTTATATAAACGCGAATTCTACTCTCCGTTCCTTTTCAAGAAAATTATCTGTAACCCTGTCATACCAACAAGGCGTCTTTTCCAGGAACTTAACTAGTGTCCTACAACTACAGCAACTACAATAAAACCCACCAGTAATAAAAGATTAATTCGTCGCTTATCGTTTTCAACAAAGAGAGTGTCGCTAAAATGATTAGAAGTCGTCTCCAGTTCAATTTAGAACAGAATGAGAATTGAAAGTTCTCCCACGGATGCCGACGCTAAAAGATCGGTGATTGGCTCATTTCGATGTCAATCAAACTGGAACACAGGCTCAGACAGATCATCCAATCTGATGCAGAAACACTGAGCGTCCGGTACCTGGCGGGACAAAAACCAGCTTGTATCCAATGACTCATCTCCGTTCAACACATTGGGACAACCTACCCTGAACTCTCGAGACGCTCGGCGTCTGGGCAGTAGACGCTCAGCGGACGCTCAGCGTCCACCGTTTAAAGCACAGCAAAGCTGCGGGAATGAATGAGAAGGGAGTCGCGTTGTAACCAGTGAGAAGAAGCTGATTCGGAACAAAAGTTGAGCACGTTGTAGCGCATATTTAGTCAATGACATGTACACACAATGAAATTTACATTCATATATTTGATCACTTATTCTTTGACATTTTAGGGGAAGCTGAGCTTCCCTTGCAGTCCGAGAGCAATCGCCACTGCCTGCCTCCTACCTTCAAAACAAGACCTTTCTGATTAAGATAGTTGATCAAAGTCTGTCCTTCATCAGCAGGTCAGCTTCTACCGCCCGAGCCACCAACAGCAATACCAACCCCACCTCCATCTTTTGTAAATCCCCCCACAGTGCCAATTCCCGTACACTTCAACTGTGGAATTGCACACAGCACTCCTATTTATGAGTCTGTGTCAGGTAAGTGGAAAATACATTTACCTTCAAGTTTTTAATTATTGCTTCTCTCAGTTCTTGTATGTTATTGGTAGGCGAAACTAGAGAAAAATAGTAAATTTTTTTGTGTGTGTGTGTGAAGACAGAATACAGGTCATAGTTTTATGTGGTTAAAGTTTTGCTATGCAATAATGACTTAAAAGACCAGTTCAGGGTGTTGTCCGCCTTCTGCCCGAAGTCAGCTGGATTAGGCTGCAGCACCTCCCCCAACCCACGATCCTGTTCAGGATAAGCAGTGTTGGAATTGGTTAGGTAAATTGAATAATTTATTTTTTATTTTATTTTTTTGAGCTACAAGGGAAAATTGTGTTCATTTAGAGGCAAGGATTGCAGTTAAAAAGAGCCATTTCTATGGACATTGAGCTTCGGTTGATGTGGTATGTAAATAAATCTCGTCCACTTGGAAATGGGTGAGAACAAAGGAATACTTCCAGATCATCCCACACTTGCTGTAATGAGTCCGACTGAATGTTGGATACTGAAGAACTGAAAACCCGTTTCCACACAACAACAGAGATGAAAGTGGACTTTTCTGAAAATTCCGGAATAAATAAATAAATAAATAAAGGTGTGTGTGTGTGTGTGTGTGTGTGTGTGTGTGTGTGTGTG